GGGCATTAGTTCTGGCCGGGGTAATGTTCTTCGCCGCGGTGGCGGCGGTGCTGCCGACGATCTCCAGGATGAGGGCTAGCGGGCAAGCCAGGGAGCTGGAGGCCACGTTCTGGGTCGGGGTGGCCATGGTCTTCTCCTACACCTGCTGGCCGTTTAGGTGAGCGAAGATATGCGACGGGTGCTTGTCTCGACTACTTCTGCCCCCGACGCTAGGGATTAGATCGTTATTTGTGCGACATAATTTTGCTTTGCAGCGGCAAATCGAAATGATTGAGGGGCTATTCTTACATGCCCAACCATTGCTGTGCAACTGCTCTGTCACCGTCACTGAACAATTGAGGTCTGGCGGGTGTACCGTATACATGTGGCCGTGAATCAAGTTGGCGGGAACTCAGTGCTGTTTTCGTAAATATTTGTTTCGACGTGGAAGACCCTCGGTGCGGTAAATACGGCAACCACCCCAGTTGCGGGGTAGATTGCCTTGATTACCCGACCACCTGGATCTCCCTCTGTAAGACTCGGATCGACTCACTATCACCGATAGGAGTGTGTAGTTGAATGCACACAGATCACGCGGCATCGGCCAGCGGCTGAGGGGGGCAACGCGCCATAGTACAGGGCTACGGTTTCTCGCTCGTGCACCTCTGCGTCGACGCTTTCGACTGCAGCGCCATATTTGATGCTTCGTAGTTCGCACTATACAGCAGTCGTGCGGACACACAACGCTAAAAATGACGATGGTGGCTTTCGGGCATGCCACACAGAATCACGGTTGACAGAGTCCGGTTCTCGGGCCGTGCCTCTGTTGCGCGTAGCGACGGCTCTGTGTCCCAAAAGGAAGGGATGGTGATCGGTCAAGCAACAGGGCATGTGCAGCTGATGGTGTTGAGGAAGCCACCACGCATGTGCCATGTGTTACCCCCCGTCGCGCTTTCTTGCTCGCAGGCTAAAGTACCGTGGCTTGGGGGATATCACGGTCTTCCTTCTCTTCGGGCCCATGCTCATGCAGGTCGGCCACGCGTGCGGTGTTGTTGAACTCGACAGTATTGCATGTCTTTCGTAGCCGTGTTGTGGTGGTGCCTAAACCTAACCCTGAGCGGTTGGGTCGACTGCTAACCTTCGTAGAGTTGGGGGGAAATCGACATGAATGTATGTTTTAATACCCCCTGGCGTGTCTTCATTCGTTGTGTCGACGGTTCCCTGGGTTTGCTTTGCTTGATCGATATTCGCCAGCATATGCGCGTGGTCGTGCTTCTGTTTTCGTTACTGCCTTGTATGTGCTCACCCCAACCTCCATTGTAGCACGTTTTTTTCACATGGCGTGAGGAGGAGGCCTAGGCTTATCAGCAGATGAGGCTACTTCCTCACCGCGGCGTTGAACGTGACTTTGGCCGTTACAACAACGTGTTGTCCATTCCTCTCCTTTTTGTGGAACTGAGAACGAATCCAGCTCTGGACGGATGCGTGCCGTGGCTACCGCGTTCTGCCGTGTCATCGCTGTGCAGGTAGCAGCGATGCTCATCTGCGGGTCGGTGCAGCACTGGGTCCTGCCGTTTGGTGTCCCCGCCGCCCTTCTTTGCGAGGCCATCCTCCACGCCAACAACATGCGGGATATCGAGCAGGACCGAAGCGCCGGGATATCTACCCTGGCAACGGTAAAGGAGAAAATGTTGCAGAACTCGTAGGTGCTGACCGTCAGTGTGACAGATCCAGCGCGGCACAAGAAGTGAGAGGTGTTGGTGCTCTCGCCACAAGGGTTTGGTGCAATCGCCGGCGCTGATGGTGGTGATGAGGACGCGGTTCTTGATTTGACGAAGGAAATCACGTCGGTGACGGTTGTGTGCTACCTTAGATTTGGCACGTACCGATTGATGGGGGTTCTCGTGTCCGTTTTGCTACCAACCTCTTGAGTTGACCTACAGTAGCTGTCGCATGTCGTTGGCTGATGCATGGGATTGAGCGCATCCCCTTCGATGGAGTTGATTTTTTTCACTCGTTTCCACTCCCGTTTTCCTGCCTCGTCCTCCCCCAGGCGATCGGCTTCCGATCGAGCCAGGTCCTGTACTTCAGCCTGCTCGGGATGGCATACGTAGTGGCCGGATGCTTGGCCTCGACGGGCAACAGGGGGTCTGCGCTGTCGTTCCTTACTCTGCCGCTAGCCATTTCGGCGCTCAAGGATTGTAGGCCAGAGGTACGTGCCTCGACCAGCGGTGTGCTCAGTAGCTCGTCCACAACTCCGAGAATTGATGCGTCGCCGTCAGGCTTGATACTGTGTTGTTGGCTGTTGTTGGCTGTTGGTGCTACACCTTGCGTGGGTGCTGGTTGAGGGTGCTGCTGCACATTGGCTACCGTTTCAAGATTGGTGTTTGTGCCGCGGTTTTCGGAGTTTTTTTTTTGCTTTCCCCCTTTTGTGCGTGACGTTATGGCCGTGAAGTCGTGTGGAAAATCAATTAAGTGTTGGCGCCGTTTGTCTGTCTACCGTATGTGGTGAGTGTGGTCCTACGCTCCTCAAGGATCTCCACTTGAAAAAGAAACTATCAAACGTTGATCAATCGGCCCATCTCACGGCCTCCGAGAGAGGAAGTCGGACAACTCCCCGTGGACTCAACTCCTTGACCCCCCCCCCCTCCCTCCCCCACGGTGTTTACCATCGGGGTTGGGTTTTCGTCTCTTGGCAACGACGGTGTAAAACAAGCCGCCGCCCCCCGGTGTTTGCCATCGGGGTTGGATTTCATCGCTTGGCAACGACATTGTACAACAAGCCCCCCCATCGGTGTTTGCCATCGGGATTGGGTTTTCGTCGCTTGGCAACGACGTCGTGAAACAAGCCAATTCACTTCGTCATTTCGGCAACCAGGTTACCGTTTTTTTTTTGTTGCCTCATATTTTTTGCGGTAACCATAATGGTGGTCGAGT